GGGAACAAATATTATGGTTTGTTAGTAAACCAATCAGCGTAGATAACATGCTACAATATTGATCAACTTACATACCGATGGGCGATGCAGTGGCATGAGAACAGATGAGGGACGTGTTCACGAAGACGCGCCACCAATCCGTTCTCTCTCCCGGTCATGACCGACGCCCCGTCCGTGCTGATGCCGACGATCTTGGACACATCGACGGCAGTGGAGCGAAGATGGTTCAGAAGCACCTCAAACAAGGACCCTGCATCACACCGCTCGACCGTCAGCAAAGTGAAAAACTCGCATGCAACTTGGCGTTCCTTCAGATATGTAAGGTACACAATCATGTGTTTCCCTCGCGTGCGGTCAGTGCTCTCGTCGCACTGGATGCCCAGGAACGGTGATGCCAGGACGTGGTCCATCTGCACCCGGGTGAGGTAAGTGCTCGTGCTGTGGACCATCTGCTGGAAGCCGTAGCTGCAACAAAGGACAGACAAATTATCAGTACACGATAGTCAAGCTAGTTGTTTGACGTGCATGTTTAAATTTGCAATCAATTTGAACCGTCACTAATCGCGTGAGATAAACGCCGTACGACTGCCGGAGAATGTCTGGCGTGTCCTGCTCCGCAAGATGCCGCATCAGCTTAGGAAACATGCTAATCGGCGCGTCGCACTGGCACAGGAACTGAGTCGACCGCATCAGCCGTATCGCGCGGCGGCCCTCGACGTCGGAGTTGATGAAGTCCGAAATCACCTGCTGGCCCTCGCGGATTCCCGACGCAATCTTCATCTGGCGGTCCACCGCTGCCATGTGTGCGTCCGTATGCTCGTGCGCCCGTAACGACTGCGTCTGCAAGTCACAGCCTCCGTCGTCTCCCTGCATGGCGTACCTCGTGTTCCCCTTATCATATGACATGCAGATGCTGCACTTCACGTACGGAAAACCGTCCTTGGTTTTCCCAAACACAAGCCAAGAAAAGAGTCCCGACCACTTCGTCTCGTAATTAATATTCGCCTCCAGGTACATCTGCTCTCGCAGTTGCGTCTTGGTGAGTGCCGGCGAGCCGGTATCCGTGCGCACTGGGATGTCACCTTCTTCCAGCAGCTCAGCTTCTTTCTGTGTAGGCTCATCGGGCTTTTCCGGCGGTGGAATACGGCGGCCTCCCACCAGCAGAGTACTCTGAGCCCACTTTCCAGATCGCGCACGCTTGGGAGCGGAAGTAGCCGACGGCGGGCCAACGGACACCCGCACCGTGCTTGGAGTAAGACTGGGCGAGGGCGGTGGAGGATTTTTGCTGCAGCCAGCAACAGCCGGAGGGAGAGTGAACGGGACGGGAATAGGAGAAGCAGTAGGAGTAGGGGTTACTAGAAGGGCAGAATCGTGAACGGTAGACCTAGGCGGTTCAGGTGTGACGGGAGCAGCCGTAGATCTAAGAAAATCTAGCCCAGAGCGGGGAGCATCCGAAGCTTTCTCCAGCTGGGACGGCGCTGTTGGTTTCGCTCTTACAGGCGGCTCGTCGGGGCCAGTGTCCGGAGCAGCTTTGTCGGCCGGCATGGCCTCCATTGGTGGCTAAACTGAAGGAGAGGAAAATGAGACAATGAAAGCACGTAATGGAAAGAACACACTAGTGAACAAAGGAACGCTGGCTGCTGGTATGGGGAGGGAAGGGGAGGTTGGAGATGGCGGGAGCACGAAACCACCGCGCCGCGATTCCACGGACTTGATGGCAACATTCCTCGATGAATTCGTCCTTGCATTCAAGGCCGAATTCATTCATGGACTCCTTGGCTGCCACCGCATGCTGTCAACAGGCCATTCTGGCCAATGGCAGACACATGCTGTGCACTGTGCGGTGCGCGTGGCTGCACCGTCTCATTGAGTTGGCTGCGTTGGCGTGGTTGCCAGCTGTGATGTACAGCACGTAAGTGTTGTCCTTTGTCGGTATTATGTCACTCACGTGCGCGTGAAGGGGGTACCTCACATGGGGCCACTCGAAGAAATGATTACGCACAAGGGGGTTATCGAAACGAAGCTTCTAGGAAACTTCGTCCCAATACACTCGCATTCAGGGTCCACGGAACGCATACTCTGCATAGACAGACTCCGCAAGTACACTACTATGAGCCTAGTTACAAGAATTCAGAGTCCATTAAGTAGCTACTCTGATAGGATCAGAGTTCACAAAATACAAAACCTGTGTTTGCAGGGTCCACCAAGTCAGAAGCCTGTAATCACCCTGAAATCAGGGTAATTACCCTGATATCGTCAGCCCTGCTCCTTGCAACTTATATTCTTGCACATCAATCGCGACAGGCAATTAATCGTCTACATTTACCACTTTCTGCATACCGTACTCAATATAATTGCAACGCAGTTGTGCATATATTATTTTTCATCCAGTTTATGTTACATATGTATTGCATTTTTGTCTTTATCTAGAACACAAGATAATGAGGAATAGTGAGCATGTTTATTTATTAGATAAGTGATTTACTGCTATACACTATTATGGAGAACGTGCGGTCAGTTATTCACTTTCTGGAGCTGGCACAAACTGCACATGAAATGGAGCTGAGTCGGCTGAATTTCACGTGCGCACACATGCTGGCGCTAACGCGCTGGTGCTGGCGCTGGTGCCTAGTATTCTTCCTCATGTTTCTCCGCACCGCATGATGTTTCTTTGCACATGTTTTTTCCCGAAGCGCATCTATCTCGCTCTTTCCATGCCCACTCTCGATTATCGTGAGGAGGTAGTAGAACACCATTCAAGCAACTGCTTCTTGTTTCAGTCATGTTTCTGAGCTCGCTTCTCGATTCTTGATCTTACTAATCAGAACTTTCTTGATTCTAGCAATTGTTCAACGTTGGCAGAGCAGTAGTCTCCTCTCCCACAGCCGCGGTTGCTCCGGTAGGTGCTACTAGTAGTACTAGCGTTGGCAAGGCGCTTGGCGCTTGTTCGCTGGCGCCGTGGCGCCTTGTTCGCAGGCGCCGTGGCGCCTTGTTAGCAGGTGCCGTACGGCACCTTGTTCGCTGGCGCCGTGGCGCCTTGTTCGCAGGCGCAGTGGCGCCTTGTTCGCAGGCTCCGTACGGCGCCTTGTTCGCTGGCGCCGTGGCGCCTTGTTCGCAGGCGCCGTGGCGTCTTGTTAGCAGGCGCCGTACGGCGCCTTGTTCGCAGGCGCCGTGGCGCCTTGTTCGCAGGCGCCGTGGCGCCTTGTTTGCAGGCGCCGTGGCGCCTTCAAGGCGCCGGCGCGCCTTGTTCGCTGGCGCCGGGGCGCTTATTTCGCTGGCGCCTTGGCGTCTATCTCGCTGGCGCCTTGACCCCATGCTTGAGACGTCTCAAAAGACGCGAGTCTAGATCATCACGAAAAGACTCCTCAATCCCGTCCCTCTTCTCCCCATCCATCATTCGCTTGTGCCACAACCACCAGGGCTTTTCTACCATTCTATAAATTTCCTCCCATCACCACCGTCCTCGTCCCCCACCCGTTCATCTGTGCCATTACCACCAGAGCTTTCCTCTATCACAAGTTTCTGACGTCAGAGGAGTGCGACCACATCATCTCCCTGGTGAGAGAGACTGAGATACATTCGTTGTAGTCATTCATCGCCCTGGTAAGACGCTTGCCGTAGTCACATTTCTGACGCCAGAGGAGTGCGACCACATCATCGCCTTGGTGAGACGCTCTCTATATACTCGCATCATCGCCCTGGTGAGAGGCTCGCTGTAGTCACATCACCGCCAGTGGTGAGAACGGCTCACTGCTGTTTCCATCCCAAGCCCTGATTCCCCCACCAACAGCCTCGTTTCCTTTCCCATGGTACCCCCCTATGACACCTACTCCCCTGCCCTCCTTCCCTCACCACCGCACGCACCCTATTTTCACACCTCCCACCTAGCATGTGCCTCTCGTGTGTCCCGCATTTTTCGCTGGCGGCTTGGCGCCTTGATCGCTGTAGGCGCTGGCGCCAAAGCGCGAAGGCTGCATCGTCCTTGCTTCGTTTTTGCTCACGTTTGTCACTTTCGCTGTTTCCCTCCCTTCTCATGTCCCATACAGTCCTCTACAACGTACACCTTTCTGTATCGTTGCATACCAATTGTAGATTTCATGCCTTTTTTCTTTGATGGAGTCCATCCCCTCCTCAAAGCCTCTATTTTAAGCTTCGTTGCAAGGATGATTGCGTGAGTGAGTGCATGGGTGAGTGAATGCGTACGTGAATGCGAGAGTAAGTGCTTGGATGAGTGCGCGGGCGAGTGCGTGAGTGAGTGCGAGGATGAGTGCGTGAGTGAGTGCGAGGATGAGTGCGCGAGTGATTGCCTTTCAGAGTGCGAGTGTAAGTGCGTGGCTAAGTGCGAAGGTGAGTGAGCGATTGAGTGCAAGAGTGAGTGCGTGGCTATGTGCGAGAGTGAGTGCATGGCTGTGTGCGAGCCTGAGTGCTTGGAAGGATGCGTGGAAGAGCGCGAGCATGTGTGTATGGTCGAGTGCGATAGTGAGGTGCGAGGCGGATTATGTGGCCGAGTGAGTGAGTGCGTCGCTGACTGAAATGGTAAGTGAGAGGATGAGTTTGTGAGTGAGTGAGAGGGTGGGTGTGATGGAGACTGCGTGAGCAAGTGCGTGGGTGTCAAGGTGTGTGCATGGTTTAGTGCGTGAGCGAGTGCATAGGTGAGTAAGAAGGTGAGCGTTTGAGTGAGTGCGAGGGTGAGTGCTTGGATGAGTGCGAGCATGAGTGTGAGCATGAGTGCGTGGATGAGCGTCGAAGAATGTGTGTTTGAGTGTGATAATGACTGAGTGGCCAAGTGCGTGAGAAAGTGCGTGCCTGATTGTGTGAGTGAGTGCGTGGCTTCGTGCGACAGAGAGAGTGTGGTAGTGTGAGGGTGATTGATTGGTTGAGTGTGAGGGAGAGTGCATGGATGAGTGCGAAGGTGAGGGCGTGAGTGAGTATGGAAGTGAGTGCATAATAGAGTGTTGGCTCAAGCATGGGGCTGGCTCAAGCATGGGGCTGGCTCAAGCATGGGGCTGGCTCTAGCATGGGGCTGGCTCAAGCATGGGGCTGGCACAAGCATGGGGCTGGCTCAAGCATGGGGCTGGCTCAAGCATGGGGTCGACTCAAGCATTGGGGCTGGCTCAAACATGGGGCTGGCTCAAGCATCAAGCATGGGGCTGGCTCTAGCATGGGGCTGGCTCAAGCATGGGGCTGGCTCAAGCATCAAGCATGGGGCTGGCTCAAGCATCAAGCATGGGGCTGGCTCAAGCATGGGGCTGGCTCAAGCATCAAGCATGGGGCTGGCTCAAGCATGGGGTTGGCTCAAGCATGGGGCTGGCTCTAGCATGGGGCTGGCTCAAGCATGGGGCTGGGTCAAGCATGGGGCTGGCTCAAGCATGAGGCTGGCTCTAGCATGGGGCTGGCTCAAACATGGGGCTGGCTCAAGCATCAAGCATGGGGCTGGCTCTAGCATGGGGCTGGCTCTAGCATGGGGCTGGCTCAAGCATGGGGCTGGCTCAAGCATGGGGCTGGCTCAAGCATGGGGCTGGCTCAAGCATGGGCCTGGCTCTAGCATGGGGCTGGCTCAAGCATCAAGCATGGGGCTGGCTCTAGCATGGGGCTGGCTCAAGCATGGGGCCCGCTCAAGCGTGGGGCTGGCTCAAGCATGGGGCTGGCTCAAGCATGGGGCTGGCTCTAGCATGGGGCTGGCTCTAGCATGGGGCTGGCTCAAGCATGGGCCTGGCTCTAGCATGGGGCTGGCTCAAGCATCAAGCATGGGGCTGGCTCTAGCATGGGGCTGGCTCTAGCATGGGGCTGGCTCAAGCATGGGCCTGGCTCTAGCATGGGGCTGGCTCAAGCATCAAGCATGGGGCTGGCTCTAGCATGGGGCTGGCTCTAGCATGGGGCTGGCTCTAGCATGGGGCTGGCTCAAGCATGGGGCTGGCTCAAGCATGGGGCTGGCTCTTGCATGGGGCTGGCTCAAGCATGGGGCTGGCTCAAGCATGGGCCTGGCTCTAGCATGGGGCTGGCTCAAGCATCAAGCATGGGGCTGGCTCTAGCATGGGGCTGGCTCTAGCATGGGGCTGGCTCTAGCATGGGGCTGGCTCAAGCATGGGCCTGGCTCTAGCATGGGGCTGGCTCAAGCATCAAGCATGGGGCTGGCTCTAGCATGGGGCTGGCTCAAGCATGGGGCTGGCTCAAGCATGGGGCTGGCTCAAGCATGGGGCTGGCTCAAGCATGGGGCTGGCTCTAGCATGGGGCTGGCTCAAGCATGGGGCTGGCTCAAGCATCAAGCATAGGGCTGGCTCTAGCATGGGGCTGGCTCAAGCATGGGGCTGGCTCTAGCATGGGGCTGGCTCAAGCATCAAGCATGGGGCTGGCACAAGCATCAAGCATGGGGCTGGCTCAAGCATGGGGCTGGCTCAAGCATCAAGCATGGGGCTGGCTCAAGCATGGGGTTGGCTCAAGCATGGGGCTGGCTCTAGCATGGGGCTGGCTCAAGCATGGGGCTGGGTCAAGCATGGGGCTGGCTCAAGCATGGGGCTGGCTCTAGCATGGGGCTGGCTCAAACATGGGGCTGGCTCAAGCATCAAGCATGGGGCTGGCTCTAGCATGGGGCTGGCTCTAGCATGGGGCTGGCTCAAGCATGGGGCTGGCACAAGCATGGGGCTGGCTCAAGCATGGGGCTGGCACAAGCATGGGGCTGGCTCAAGCATGGGGCTGGCTCAAGCATGGGCCTGGCTCAAGCATGGGGCTGGCTCAAGCATCAAGCATGGGGCTGGCTCTAGCATGGGGCTGGCTCAAGCATGGGGCCCGCTCAAGCGTGGGGCTGGCTCAAGCATGGGGCTGGCTCTAGCATGGGGCTGGCACAAGCATGGGGCTGGCTCAAGCATGGGGTCGACTCAAGCATTGGGGCTGGCTCAAGCATGGGGCTGGCTCAAGCATGGGGCTGGCTCAAGCATGGGACTGGCTCTAGCATGGGGCTGGCTCTAGCATGGGGCTGGCTCCAGCATCGGCCTGGCTCTAGCATGGGGCTGGCTCAAGCATCAAGCATGGGGCTGGCTCTAGCATGGGGCTGGCTCAAGCATGGGGCTGGCTCAAGCATGGGGCTGGCTCAAGCATGGGGCTGGCTCAAGCATGGGGCTGGCTCAAGCATGGGCCTGGCTCTAGCATGGGGCTGGCTCAAGCATCAAGCATGGGGCTGGCTCTAGCATGGGGCTGGCTCAAGCATGGGGCCCGCTCAAGCGTGGGGCTGGCTCAAGCATGGGGCTGGCTCTAGCATGGGGCTGGCTCTAGCATGGGGCTGGCTCTAGCATGAGGCTGGCTCAAGAATCAAGCATGGGGCTGGCTCTAGCATGGGGCTGGCTCAAGCATGGGGCCCGCTCAAGCGTGGGGCTGGCTCAAGCATGGGGCTGGCTCTAGCATGGGGCTGGCTCTAGCATGGGGCTGGCTCAAGCATGGGCCTGGCTCTAGCATGGGGCTGGCTCAAGCATCAAGCATGGGGCTTGCTCTAGCATGGGGCTGGCTCTAGCATGGGGCTGGCTCAAGCATGGGCCTGGCTCTAGCATGGGGCTGGCTCAAGCATCAAGCATGGGGCTGGCTCTAGCATGGGGCTGGCTCTAGCATGGGGCTGGCTCAAGCATGGGGCTGGCTCAAGCATGGGGCTGGCTCAAGCATGGGGCTGGCTCTAGCATGGGGCTGGCTCAAGCATGGGGCTGGCACAAGCATGGGGCTGGCTCAAGCATGGGGCTGGCTCAAGCATGGGGTTGACTCAAGCATTGGGGCTGGCTCAAGCATGGGGCTGGCTCAAGCATGGTGCTGGCTCAAGCATGGGGCTGGCTCTAGCATGGGGCTGGCTCTAGCATGGGGCTGGCTCAAGCATGGGCCTGGCTCTAGCATGGGGCTGGCTCAAGCATCAAGCATGGGGCTGGCTCTAGCATGGGGCTGGCTCAAGCATGGGGCTGGCTCAAGCATGGGGCTGGCTCAAGCATGGGGCTGGCTCAAGCATGGGGTCGACTCAAGCATTGGGGCTGGCTCAAGCATGGGGCTGGCTCAAGCATCAAGCATGGGGCTGGCTCAAGCATACCAATTGTTGATTTCATGCCTTTTTTTTTTATGGAGTCCATCCCCTCCTCAAAGCCTCTATTTTAAGCTTCGTTGCAAGGATGATTGCGTGAGTGAGTGCATGGGTGATGCGTGGCTAAGTGTGAGAGGCATGACTGAATGCGAGAGTGAGTGCGAGGGTGAGTTTGATGTTGTGTGCGTGGTTGTGAATAGGAGGTAGTGAGGACGGACTCCGTAGGAGAAATAGTGTGCAAAGTGCAAAGTGCACGCTAGGCTTTGGGTGCATGAGAGGACAGTTGTGTGCATGAGGGTGTGATATTATATGACCGGGTTAGAGCGTCATTGTCCTTTATCTTCTTGCCATTGTTGTTCCTCATCTCTTTTACACATATATTTTTCCATCTTGAAAAACGACGAACCTGTTCGAATCCATGATAAAGATGTTTTTACATCAATGTACTTTCTTGATGTATCTGTCACACGTTTGATCCTTTGCAGAAGTTCATCACTTCGTTGCGGTAAGGAGAAGTTGGAAGGACTTTGCAATGGCATCATCTTCGAGCGCGGGCTTGATCTTTACTGGCGAGAGGACCGACGGTGAGTTTCGTAAACAATATTCTTTAAGAATGGAACGAATCTTAGGAGATGGTAATTGTTTATTTCGAAGTATATCCATGTCGTTATATAATACACAAGACAGGTACAAGGAAGTCAAATCCAAATTGCTACGACACGTAGTCGAGAATTGGGATAATCCAGAGTATGATTATCCTTACCAAGCTAGTGTAGCGCACGACCACGTGTTTGGATCAGCCAACGATTATTTCTCTTATCTATCGCCTGACCGAGTTTACGGATCATGCAATGAGGTAAGTGCATTTTCAGTTGTTTACAATATGACATCACTCATTTGGTTGAATACGAGTCGCTTCATTACTTGTTATCGTGCACCACAAGCCGCGCCTGGTGATCGTGTATTGCACTTGCATTATGATTGCGATCGCGAGCACTATTCTCTGCTTGTTCCCGCCGAGGACGGCGTTGTATATGGCACCTGGTATTTGTTAAGTGAGAACGTACAACATGCTGAGGATGCAGAGCCAAGCCAGGTTGGTTTTCCTCATTTGGATTCGTTGGAACGACCCGCAAGCCACTTAACAGCTTCAGCAACTTCGTCAACATTCGTTCGTGAGTCTGTCCAGAGTATCAATACTATTAGGACGAAAGACAATGATACGGGCTCGCAGGCTTCGTTTCAAACTGTTTGTTCCAAGAATGGATTGGCCAAAGCAAGCTCGAAAGATTGTTATTAAAAAAAAAGGCACACGTCAAATGCGTTTTTTTGCATATGTCATGAGTATGCAAAAACGCGTAACACATCTAACAAGCGGTTTATTGGTGTGAGAGCTCTTGCACATGGTTTTAAATTTATTGTCAAGTACAATAAGAAAACATATTCTTTTTCTGGTTTTCAACACGCTGCAGATGCAGCTTTTGCACGAGCATACTTTATACACAACAAAATACATGTCATACAAGACTACGAGATCGATGTACATTTTGGATTTGACGCGGATACTGGCACCCCGGTCTTGAATAAGGATCTTGATTTCAAGTTCAAGAATGTGACATTAATCCGACCACCAATCGAGCGGAAGTTAAACAAGTCCATGAGTGATTTTCACAAGGATTGCAAGTGTGGGCCTGATGTGGAATGCATGGCATGCGGTACTTTGAACTTTGAGCGTAACATGGTACAAGAGAAGACCCTGCAGTCTTCAAAACGACTATGTCGTTACTGCGCCAAATATGAAAGCGATGGAAAAGTATCGCCATTCTCGAAGCTCAATCGACACGGCTTTCCGGCAAAACCACCTGCACTTCAAGACATAACGATACTGGAGGAACGGTTGATCAGTCCCCGTATACCGTTTATGAAGATCCATTCTTTGTCTATTGGCAAACAGTTTGGTATTCACGGCGGAGTAATAAATATTCCTGTCGAGGTCGATAAAATGGTACAATCTCTTCCAAGATTATCTGATGAGACTCATACAATCACCGTGCAACTGAAACGTAAGCTTGTTTATAAGAACAGTGCTTTCGAAGAAAATGTACGTCCGGCAAAGATCATGAAAGCGCTGCAGTTCCTTTGCGATCAAGATCTCTTCAAAGAATACGGCATTCGTCTCGACAACATGAAGATGAGATCGTTAGAAGACAATGACGTTGGATTGACCTCGGATGATAGTGAAGAAAATGACAAGAGGCGACAAGAACCAGGATCACTGTATTCGCACGATAGTGACGATTCTGATCATCACAATGTTGGAGTGCTCGATACTCTCTTAACTCAAGAGCATTTTTATCAACACCCATCGCAATGCATAGTCCAAATGGCACCTGGCGAGCATGCAAGGCCGTTATCTATTGTCCTCGATAAGGATGTTGAGGAGCTGAGTTTCCCGTCGATTTATTGTGGTCGTCGGAGATTTGGTGGATCGTGCGATCTGAACGTCTCATATTCAGATATTGTGAAATGGGAGCTGAAACACGCCAACGGTCGCTGTTCCACCAATATTCCAAATATTTTCTTCAAAATGTACAAGAAAGAGATACTTCAGGTACAGAATGTCATCGCGACACGGGTTAGGCAAGAGAAGATCGAACATCTTCAGTCGCTTACCGCAGCGGACATGTTAAATGAAACAAAACGGGCAAGTTTGCAGCAGAAAGATGCATTGTACAATGATTTCAGGACAATACGGACTACTCAACAATACAGAGACAAGTGCAAGCGAGATCTTTTCGCATTATTGCGTCAGTTGGGGAGACCGACGTTTTTCTTAACGTTGTCGATGGCTGATACCAAGTGGACGGATCTCCACGCAATACTTTTAAGGGTGAATGATTTGCGCGGAAATTCGGCTAAAATACGTAGTGACGTCAGCATACCGCTAGATTTTGATACTATTTGTACGCTGGTACGAAATGATCCGGTTACATGCGCTCGATACTACGATTTCAGAAAGAAGGCTTTGTTTTCACGATTCTTCAATACGGCTTCGCACGTATTGGGCGGTATTGACGATTATTTTGCTATGGACGAGTTTCAACATCGAGGTGCGCCACATACACATGCCATCCTTTGGAGCCAATCATCTATGGATATTACTATGAATTCTGCAACAGATATCATCCAATTCGCAAATAAACATATCAGTTCGTCGTCTGAAGGACTGGATTCACAGCTTATACTTTTACAAACCCATAAGCATTCTCGGTCCTGCCAACGTCGATTTGCAAATAGCACGAAGTGTAGATTTGGGTTTCCAAGGTTTCCGCTTCCGTCAACAATGATCTTGCATCCTATTTCCACTACGGTAACCGTAAAGGAGCAAAAAAGGATTAGGAGTAATCTCGCACTTCTAAAAGAGCGTTTAGAGCTAGCTCCAACCTTTTCTGGTACGTTTGATTCGTTCATAGAAGACCTAGGGCTTTCATTATCCGACTATATAACGGTGATTCGGTCTACTCTCAAGCGTGTTACGCTGGTCCTCCAGCGAAAGGTGAGCGATGTATTTATTAACAATTACAATCCAGCACTTCTATCTGCATGGAACGGCAATATGGACGTTCAATTATGTATCGATCCATACAGCGTTGCTGCATACATCGTTTCTTATATGACAAAAGCTAACAAAGGTATGAGCGTCATGATGCAACAAGCCATGGAGAGGGCCAGACAACAAAAAGGTGGTATAAAAGCCATGTTGCGGGTCCTTGGCAATGCGATGCTTAACTCACAAGAGATTAGCGCACAAGAAGCTTGTTATGTACTGCTTGGACTACGGTATCGCATGTCAACGCGACAGGTATTATTTGTAAATACAAATCCTCATTCCGAACGGTTGTTGACTTTAAAGACACTCAATGAATTGCAAGTCTTAGATGTAGATAGCACGAATATCTATCAACCTTATGCTCTGTTGGAGAGATACATAAAAAGACCTGATGCCATGGAATCTGCTTGTATAGCAGATTTTGTTTCAAGGTTTGAGATTTCGCTGTGTTCGAACCCTGCGGACAAAATTGGCCTAATTGGTCCAGATTTGTCGGAAAAGAAGAGATATTACTATCGACGTAGGAAAAGTAGGATAATACGATTCGTTGGTTACCACAAAGAACAAGATCCATGCAATTATAGAAGAGAGCGTGTTTTTCTTTTTTTTCCATTCAGGGTGGAGCCAATGAATCCGACAGATTTCATAGAAACTTATTTAAAGCATAAAGATATCATAGAAGCTAAAGAATCTGAATACACAAAGGGACAAGACTCTTGGGCGCTAGCTTTCGAAGAGGCTGAGCAGAATGACTTTGAACGACACTCTGATAGCTTAACACTATCAGATGACAGTGATGACCAAATCGATATTGAAAATGAGATTAACATGGAGCAACAAAAACCGAAAGCTGTTGACCTTTTTATTCATGTCGCCGTTGATGACTCTGTGTACTTGAAATTGGAGTCTGGTTTGAATGTCGAGCAGCGCTCTGTCTGTGATCATATTGTACACCACATCCGGTTCGGAAAACAACCGTTACATATGTTTATAACAGGTGGAGCGGGGGTCGGCAAATCAGTTCTAATCAACATTGTCACCGAGAGAATTTCTCGAATGTTTAATGCGTCTGTGAATACGAAGCCTCACTCTCTAAAGGTTTTGAAATTGGCTCCATCTGGTATTGCCGCATTCAACATCAGCGGGTATACCATCCATAACGCATTGATGATACCTGTTTCTCAAAACAGAACCATTTCTAACTTATCGTCCGATCGCCTTAACACTCTGCGCTCTCGTTTTGGTGATGTTAAAGTTGTCGTCGTGGATGAAATCTCTATGCTCGGTAAGCATATGTTCCATTGGTTGGACTGGCGTTTGAGAGAACTACGAGGCGCACAGCATACTCCTTTTGGTGGGTTGCATATGATCCTTGTTGGTGACTTGTTTCAATTGCCACCGGTTGCCGACCATTATTGCTTCACAGACTCGATTTGTCCTGATACGCACATTGAAGGTAACGTGTGGGGGTCATTTCAAATGATTGAGCTTACAACCATTATGCGTCAAAAAGATGAACGAATATTTGCAGAACGTCTGAATCGTTTACGAGAAGGTCACCATACAAACGAAGACGTGGCCTTTTTCTCCTCGTTGAACAAACCTTGCAACGATTTATCCGGAATGCAACACATCTTCTGTAGAAATATTGACATTGACGCATACAACACCATGGTTTTTGAGGCTTCCACAAAGGAGAAGTACGTCATTCCAGCGCATGATCTTAATCTCTTCGTTAAATCGGCAACACGTGAAAAAGCCCCTTCAAGGTATGCTTCATCCGATCCAAAAAAGACAGCTGGTCTGTATCCTTTTTTGCGTGTGTATATTGATTGTAAGGTTCATGTTGTCGTGAATGTGGATACAACTGATGGGATTGCAAATGGTACACCTGGAATCGTTAAAAAGTTCTCCATAGATGAAGCAGGTGAGGTTGTTGTTATCTGGGTGTCTTTTGATGATGCTCGTGTGGGAAAGAGGATTCGACACGAACAGCGTAAGTTGTTTTCTTCATGGAATGTGACTGATTTTGCATACACCCCCATCATTAGGCAAACGAGAGAGTTCTCAATCAATCGGAATCATGATGCAATATTACGATCACAATTCCCTCTTCGTCCAAGTGACGCCATAAGTGTGCATCGAAGTCAAGGTTCTACGTTCGACTCTGGCGTAGTCCACTTCCAACGTCGTATATTTCATCACACTGCATACGTCGCATTAAGTAGATTTCGGTCGTCAAAATATCTGTTTTTGGAGAACTTTTCGGCTGGGTCGATCAATATACACAAAGGAGTGGTAAACGAGATGGAACGTCTACGTAAAATGAACCTACCTATGGTTCCAGTCCCAGTCAACGCAATTGCATTGTATCCCGCGCGTGCGAAATTTGCATTTCATAACGTTCGCAAGTTCAGATTGGATTGTATTGGTAGCATGACGTCCATAAAATCATTTGATTTCGTGGTGTTACTTGAGACACATCTTTCTCACGACCAATCTCACGGCGATGCATTTAACGGTTTTTCGGTATTTCGTCAAGATTCAGATTTTGGAGGCATGCTTGTTGCCTTTAACAATGAACACGTCTCAATATTTTCTCACAAGTTATACGATAAAGTTCAGTTTGTTGTCTTGAAATACCATTCAGCCCGAAATACGTTCGTAATATGTGTTTACCGTAATCCACGTTCGTCTCAAACTTATTTCTATTCGTTAATGCATACCATGATGGATACGATCCCTTTGAATGGAGATATTATTATCATTGGTGACTTCAATTTTGATATTAAAGCATCCACATCAAAACGCTTGATCCAATTGATGGGAAATGCAAGAATGGCTCAATGCGTCCAATCATCAACTACCATACGGAATACCATTATCGATCACGTTTGGCTTGATGCTGCTAAATTTGATGTTGAAGTATTTGTTGGAGAATCATTTTTCAGCGACCATTTTCCTGTATATGTACTTATAAAATAACACGCCTATTTTTTTCATACAGGTGGCTCTCCTTTTGACGAGAAAACACTTGCGCAGGTGAGAGGGTTTTATTTGTGTTTGCGTTGCATCTTCACTATGTAAGATGCTTTTATACCTTCTCTCTTGTATATTTTTTTTTATTGCACTCACTCACATGGGGTTGGCTCAAGCATGGGGCTGGCTCTAGCATGGGGCTGGCTCTAGCATGGGGCTGGCTCTAGCGTGGGGCTGGCTCAAGCATGGGGCTGGCTCAAGCATGGGGCTGGCTCAAGCATGGGGCTGGCTTAAACATGGGGATGGCTCAAGCATGGGGCTGGCTCAAGCATGGGGCTGGTTCTAGCATGCGGCTGGCTCAAGCATCAAGCATGGGGCTGGCTCAAGCATGGGGTTGGCTCAAGCATCAAGCATGGAGCTGGCTCAAGCATGGGGCTGGCTCAAGCATGGGGCTGGCTCAAGGATCAAGCATGGGGCTGGCTCAAGCATGGGACTGGCTCAAGCATGGGGCTGGCTCTAGCATGGGGCTGGCTCAAGCATGGGCCTGGCTCAAGCATGGGGCTGTCTCAAGCATGGGGCTGGCTCTAGCATGGGGCTGGCTCTAGCATGGGGCTGGCTCAAGCATGGGCCTGGCTCTAGCATGGGGCTGGCTCAAGCATCAAGCATGGGGCTGGCTCAAGCATGGGGCTGGCTCAATTATGGGGCTCGCTCTAGCATTGGGGCTGGCTCAAGCATCAAGCATGGGGCTGGCTCATGCATGGGGCTGGCTCAAGCATGGGGCTGGCTCAAGCATCAAGCATGGGGCTGGCACAAGCATGGGGCTGGCTCAAGCATCAAGCATGGGGCTGGCTCAAGCATGGGGCTGGCTCAAGCATGGGGCTGGCTCTAGCATGGGGCTGGCTCTAGCATGGGGCTGGCTCAAGCATGGGCCTGGCTCTAGCATGGGGCTGGCTCAAGCATCAAGCATGGGGCTGGCTCTAGCATGGGGCTGGCTCAAGCATGGGGCTGGCTCAAGCATGGGGCTGGCTCAAGCATGGGGCTGGCTCAAGCATGGGGCTGGCTCTAACATGGGGCTGGCTCAAGCATGGGGCTGGCACAAGCATGGGGCTGGCTCAAGCATGGGGCTGGCTCAAGCATGGGGTCGACTCAAGCATTGGGGCTGGCTCAAGCATGGGGCTGGCTCAAGCATCAAGCATGGGGCTGGCTCAAGAATCAAGCATGGGGCTGGCTCAAGCATGGGGCTGGCTCAAGCATGGGGCTGGCTCAAGCATGGGGCTAGCTCAAGCATGGGGCTGGCTCTAGCATGGGGCTGGCTCAAGCATGGGGCTGGCTCAAGCATCAAGCATGGGGCTGGCTCTAGCATGGGGCTGGCTCAAGCATGGGGCTGGCTCTAGCATGGGGCTGGCTCAAACATCAAGCATGGGGCTGGCTCAAGCATCAAGCATGGGGCTGGCTCAAGCATGGGGCTGGCTCAAGCATCAAGCATGGGGCTGGCTCAAGCATGGGGTTGGCTCAAGCATGGGGCTGGCTCTAGCATGGAGCTGGCTCAAGCATGGGGCTGGGTCAAGCATGGGGCTGGCTCAAGCATGGGGCTGGCTCTAGCATGGGGCTGGCTCAAACATGGGGCTGGCTCAAGCATCAAGCATGGGGCTGGCTCTAGCATGGGGCTGGCTCTAGCATGGGGCTGGCTCAAGCATGGGGCTGGCTCAAGCATGGGGCTGGCTCAAGCATGGGGCTGGCTCAAGCATGGGCCTGGCTCTAGCATGGGGCTGGCTCAAGCATCAAGCATGGGGCTGGCTCAAGCATCAAGCATGGGGCTGGCTCAAGCATGGGGCTGGCTCAAGCATCAATCATGGGGCTGGCTCAAGCATGGGGTTGGCTCAAGCATGGGGCTGGCTCTAGCATGGAGCTGGCTCAAGCATGGGGCTGGGTCAAGCATGGGGCTGGCTCAAGCATGGGGCTGGCTCTAGCATGGGGCTGGCTCAAACATGGGGCTGGCTCAAGCATCAAGCATGGGGCTGGCTCTAGCATGGGGCTGGCTCTAACATGGGGCTGGCTCAAGCATGGGGCTGGCTCAAGCATGGGGCTGGCTCAAGCATGGGGCTGGCTCAAGCATGGGCCTGGCTCTAGCATGGGGCTGGCTCAAGAATCAAGCATGGGGCTGGCTCTAGCATGGGGCTGGCTCAAGCATGGGGCCCGCAGCCCGCTCAAGCGTGGGGCTGGCTCAAGCATGGGGCTGGCTCTAGCATGGGGCTGGCTCAAGCATGGGGCTGGCTCAAGCATGGGGCTGGCTCAAGCATGGGGCTGGCTCTAGCATGGGGCTGGCTCAAGCATGGGGCTGGCACAAGCATGGGGCTGGCTCAAGCATGGGGCTGGCTCAAGCATGGGGTCGACTCAAGCATTGGGGCTGGCTCAAGCATGGGGCCCGCTCAAGCGTGGGGCTGGCTCAAGCATGGGGCTGGCTCTAGCATGGGGCTGGCTCAAGCATGGGGCTGGCTCTAGCATGGGGCTGGCTCAAGCATCAAGCATGGGGCTGGCTCTAGCATGGGGTTGGCTCAAGCATGGGGCTGGCTCTAGCATGGGGCTGGCTCAAGCATCAAGCATGGGGCTGGCTCAAGCATCAAGCATGGGGCTGGCTCAAGCATGGGGCTGGCTCAAGCATCAAGCATGGGGCTGGCTCAAGCATGGGGTTGGCTCAAGCATGGGGCTGGCTCTAGCATGGGGCTGGCTCAAGCATGGGGCTGGGTCAAGCATGGGGCTGGCTCAAGCATGGGGCTGGCTCTAGCATGGGGCTAGCTCAAACATGGGGCTGGCTCAAGCATCAAGCATGCGGCTGGCTCTAGCATGGGGCTGGCTCTAGCATGGGGCTGGCTCAAGCATGGGGCTGGCTCAAGCATGGGGCTGGCTCAAGCATGGGGCTGGCTCAAGCATGGGCCTGGCTCTAGCATGGGGCTGGCTCAAGCATCAAGCATGGGGCTGGCTCTAGCATGGGGCTGGCTCAAGCATGGGGCCCGCTCAAGCGTGGGGTTGGCTCAAGCATGGGCCTGGCTCTAGCATGGGGCTGGCTCAAGCATCAAGCATGGGGCTGGCTCTAGCATGGGGCTGGCTCTAGCATGGGGCTGGCTCAAGCATGGGGCTGGCTCAAGCATGGGGCTGGCTCAAGCATGGGGCTGGCTCTAGCATGGGGCTGGCTCAAGCATGGGGCTGGCACAAGCATGGGGCTGGCTCAAGCATGGGGCTGGCTCAAGCATGGGGTCGACTCAAGCATTGGGGCTGGCTCAAGCATGGGGCTGGCTCAACCATCAAGCATGGGGCTGGCTCAAGCATGAGGCTGGCTCAAGCTTGGGGCTGGCTCTAGCATGGGGCTGGCTCAAGCATGGGGCTGGCTCTAGCATGGGGCTTGCTCAAGCATCAAGCATGGGGCTGGCTCTAGCATGGGGCTGGCTCAAGCATGGGGCTGGCTCAAGCATGGGGCTGGCTCAAGCATGGGGCTGGCTCAAGCATGGGGCTGGCTCTAGCATGGGGCTGGCTCAAGCATGGGCCTGGCTCAAGCATGGGGCTGGCTCTAGCATGGGGCTGGCTCAAGCATGGGGCTGGCTCAAGCTTGGAGCTGGCTCTAGCATGGGCTTGGCTCAAGCATGGGCCTGGCTCAAGCATCAAGCATGGGGCTGGCTCAAGCATGGGGTTGGCTCAAGCATGGGGCTGGCTCAAGCATGGTGTTGGCTCAAGCATGGGGCTGGCTCTAGCATGAAGCTACCTGTGGAGCTGGTTGCAAAGAGGCTAGCTGCTTTCTTTTTCTATTATTATTATTACATACATCATATATTTTCTTGTCTTTTCTTAAATGAATGAGCAGCCACCGAAGGTTACCAACTTCAGCAAGCTGATGAAGATCATGACGCTCAACGGCCCGTGCGATGGTTATGAGCCTTTGAACTTCATGGTTCGAGCGATGGTTATTGATGTTCGACCCCATGACCTCGATAAGTCAACGGCGGCTAACTTTCCTGCAAAACTTTATCTGATGGATTCTGAGGGGAAAGTCATGGAGCTGCTCTTCTGGGCGGTAGGGCCACCGATATCATGGACGATAGACAAGTGCTACAGGACATTGGAGGAGTTTGTTCTTGGAGCAACATACGACATTTGTTCCGTGAAATGCGAGCGCTCCAAGATTTCAGGGTGAGTCTTCTATATATATACTAAGTCATTGTTTGCTACCATTGTTCCAACAGCATTCTACCAATATAAGACTATCCGCAACCCTAAAGCATGGAGAACGAACGAAGCATCATTTTTGCAACAAAGAATTGCCATAATTTGTCCAATCATTGTCACAGGTTTCCCCATTTTGTCACTAATCCGACCATATAACATTACGCTTCATAACTTTCAATCAGGTGGGCCTATGGCGTGCTGGATGGTGTGCTGACTTGGAAGCATCGTTCATCGCATGCCCGCATGACAGCTGAGAATGACAGCATTCCGTTGAGTCTTTTCAATGCTACACGACTCGATGCATTATTCTCATCTGATCCGTGCACGCGTCGTCAGGTTTGTGTGCATGGGCATGTCACGCAATATCATACAACATATTAAATTGATTCGGCTATTTCATGTTCGAGCTTAAATCTGATGTTTTGTTGGATTGCGTGGGTTTAACAGTGACGTTTATGATTGAGTTATTGCTTCCCGTATATGTATATTGTCCTTCACATTCTTGATTACTTGTTACGTATAAATTCTTTTGACATTCATTGCTTTCAGGTTTCGTCCTTCATTGTGGAGCTGACGGTCTCCAAGATGGAGCCCGGATATCTGCTGCGCTCCTTGTGTTCAGTTCGTGATGAGAGTGGACGCTTCGGCTTGACAGCGTTCGGCTCATCGGCGGACCGGATTCGCATGCTTGTGGAAGAGCAACGGCAGCTAACCAGGACTCCATTCACATCGACTCCAGTGGTATTATGGATCACGGAAGTCTACGTCGACCCTCCCCAAATTCTGACAACCAAGAGGTATAATAAGTGGTAATCATGTACTCTATAAGAGTATTAGAGTATGTGTACCTTGGTTTACATTGTGGTGAGAAATATGCGTTCATAAGTATGTGTGTAACCCCCTAAATGTTTTCCCATTTTGCATGTCTCTTTTATTTCCTAACAGGTCGAGAATCATCAAGATCACGGATGCTGCTGTTGTTGCTCGAGCCACAAACATCCCGCTCCCTGTGCTTCCAAACTCCCGCGACGTCGGAATCGTCAACTCGTGAGCTTGCTAGTGGCTTATTGTAATCCTGTTTGTATGGACAACCACATACGAATATGTTATATATCTTCAATCTATGCTTTGTACGATCACGACGTCTACTTTCAAATCTATCTTTATTCCGTTTTTTCACTCCTCCAGTTTGGGGCCAGTGGAAGACAACGTGATCTCTTTGGGTCAAGAGATCACATGCACACTTGCTGTGGTAATACGCGACACTGTTATTACCACAGAGAGGTGCTGCTCCTACAAGGCGCCTGGAAAGGACACACTTGCTTGCGGTTTTCCTGTTGGATATGATTGCACACAAGACGGGTATATTTGTGTCATAAAGCACCTGACGCAGGACCCGACCCAGCATGACAAGATTGCATTGGTTTTCGACACGACCACAGGTGCTCGTGTTCCCTTTCTTTTTCTCTCTTTGCTGTGACAACTGTCGTTTGATGCTCCGTTTCATGATATTGTATCACCGTTGACTATCTTTTACGCCATGCCACCTTATTTTTTGAGGTTGGTTTTTTCATTCATCATCTTTCAGATTTTGTTGTGTGCCAAAGGACGATTGTACACCACGCTGTGCACATGCCAATATTATGGTTATATGTATTTTGTTTTTCTTATTCTTTTCTTCTTCCCTATCAAAGTTGGAAAATCCCGTCGCACAGGTGTGCACGCTGCAGTGAGCATGGGTGCTCTCGAGGGCGAACTGGACAATTTCAACATTGCGACCTGGACCGCAGCTGGGTCGGACGGGAAGAAGGAGATACTATCGAAACTCCTCCACAAGCGTCGACATATCAAGGTATGTTAAGTCAACGAAAATGTCATATTTGCTAGTTTTACATAACACAAACGGTCATACCAATGTGGTTAGGTGATGTTATGTCCATCGTATGTCTAAAATGTCAAATTTCTTAATGTGCATCACATTTTTACGTGTTATCTTCATCCAACATCAGTTGGTCACGAAGGCAGCTGGAAATGTCTTCGAAAGGACCATCACAGCCTTCATCAAGGTATTTTCATATTGAGTCTTGTATGAGCCATGACACGATATAATATGTCGTTTTAGTGCTGAAATATTAGTATTTGTATACTCACATTTTGTGCTCATTACCAATATGTTTGTACTTCCTTCTTGCATTAGGAGGAGCATATTGCGGATCCCAATGACAACAAGAAACGTGAGGCATCGAATGCTCCTCCTAGCGTTCCAGCGACACCCGTGAAACTCGCTCAGCGTCGTGGTGGCAAGGTAAGATACAATGAAATGCTCGTACTCTAATTTGATTATATGGATTTATGGTTCTATTCGTGAGTTTCTTGAACATGTTTATGAAGTTATTAATTGTGACACAACTTTCAGAGGAGTGTGCAGTGCAGTCGTCATAGCACACCCCTCTTCAAATCGAATCACAATCTGCAAAATTTTTATTATAAAAAAAATTTCTCATACTTGTTGAACTTGTAAACAAACCTTTGCACTATATTTCTTGTTTGTTGTGTTTGTTTCTTTATTATTTTGTGCAGGATATGTGAGCGGAGCTCTATCGTCCCCACTTCCGTTTGCAATACAATTTAAGGGGTGGAAGCAAGCGGGGAATGGAGGGAACATGGGGAGATATGGAGAAATTGGGTTATACATGAATAAACTTGACTTTTTGTTATCTGTGTGTGCGATATATTAGCTGGTTGTTTGTGTAGCTTTGTTTATTTGCTTGTAAATGTCTGGGTGCGTGCGTGTATGTGGTGTTGGCGATTTTTACGCGCGTGTGCATTCGTGTTCGTGGTATGTGTGTTTCAAAGTGTGGTGTTACTACGTGTCATGTATGCAACTAGAGGTTGTTAATCGTCTTTGGGGCAGCGTGTTTTCGCTGTTTCAACGACCCCATCAGCCTCTGTTGCTATATGATGCATTTTAACACCCATTTTGAAGCATCCATACGACCTCATACCTTGTTGTTCATTTGTACAATCTGTTATGTGCGTGTGCATTCGTGTTCGTGGTATGTGTGTTTCAAAGTGTGGTGTTACTACGTGTCATGTATGCAACTAGAGGTTGTTAATCGTCTTTGGGGCAGCGTGTTTTCGCTGTTTCAACGACCCCATCAGCCTCTGTTGCTATATGATGCATTTTAACACCCATTTTGAAGCATCCATACGACCTCATACATTGTTGTTCATTTGTACAATCTGTTATGTGCTTGTGCATTCGTGTTCGTGGTATGTGTGTTTCAAAGTGTGGTGTTACTACGTGTCATGTATGCAACTAGAGGTTCTTAATCGTCTTTGGGGCAGCGTGTTTTCGCTGTTTCAACGACCCCATGAGCCTCTGTTGCTATATGATGCATTTTGACGCCCATTTTGAAGCATCCATACCACCTCATACCTTGTTGTTCATTTGTACTAGTTGCATTCGTTCATGTTGATGCCTGAATCTTATGTTCGGCCGTACCATCCGCCGTATTTATCGACGAGGTGGGACGGTCGAGCAAATTCATGGTTTCAACATGATACGTACGTACGTATTTGGCTTCACATTCAGGGATATCGCATTCAAGAGTGATGCGCATTCACTCCTTGAGGCGTTCGTTTGAACACAGACTTAAAACGTTCAAACGAATGTTCCAAAGAGTACTTCGAAATTCACTCTCGAAATGATATCCCCAAAATGTGAAACCAAATATAAAGGGTTGCTACGCAACCCAAAAATACCTATGTCAAGCCAGCATATGCTTGTACAAAACAGATTCTGGAATGTACAATCCATCCACCATCCATCTGCACGCCACCCATTTTAACAGGGTTTATGGGGCGGACATCCGAATGTAGACAACAAATTGAAATAATTATTTGCTGACACCCCGTCTCCAAGCTCCTCTCCAGATTCGACCTCTTTTCCCCGCGTGAAACTAAGTTCCGCACGCCATCACGTCGCCAAGGTGCTGTTCTCTGAGCCCGCTCTCGCTGCACAGATCCGACCTGCGGGAGCTGCGGCCGAATGCCGCAACAGCCGCAGACGCGTCAGCAAGGGTGCGCCTGGTCGTCGATTTCGGCAACCTGCGTCTGCTAGTCGACGCAGCATCTACACCATTCACACTTGGACTAGCACCAGCGCTAGAAAGCCCAGCACTAGTAGCAAGCATCCGGGAGCTCTCGGACAGGACGACGGCAACGGCAGCATCGGTCATGGTCGTCGCAGCGGGAGCGGAGGTAGCGCACGGCGAACCCCGCCGTAGCTGGCGAGAGAGAGACGATCGGCGGGTGCTCTTCGGAGCAGGGCCTTTCGAAAGCGAGTATCCCGACGGAGAGCCGTCGACGAGTGGGCTGTGCGAGCAGCTTTGCGAGCCACGCGTGATCTCGAGCGAGCGGCGCGGGTGCAGCCGCTGCCGCTGACTGGGCGTTCCACCCTGCGGGTGGGATGGCGAGGCGAGGGGAGAGTCGAGGCCCCATAGGAGTAGGGACAAGTCAAATTCCGATGAGTCCCGGCTTGAGCCTCTCGCGTCGCCGCCGCCAGCTATGGCTGCCAATGCTGCGTCCGCAGTATAAACCCCAGCGGAATTTGGACGAGAACCACCGGTTCTCCCTGTGGAAGAAGAGGCGGCGAAGACATCCGACTCAGGTGTCCAAACATTAAGAGTTGGGTATCCTTGTTGGTGCTGCCAGGGGCAGGCGACAGAGGACGCGCTGCGGGGCACGCGGGGGGGCGGGTTCGCCGTCGCCACGACCGCGGGGGTCGCGGCCGGCACCGGCACCGGCGCGTCCGCCGCCGCGCCCGGGGTGAGGTAATACGTGAAGCCCGCGTGCAAGGGCGTTTCGGCGGGGAGAGACGTGAGGCATTCCTCTAACACGCCGAGCGTGCAGCCAGGGTAGTCCGTGAGAACCGCGTCTGCTAGGACCGGCTGGTTGCCGGGCCCCGTGGCGGAGTAGAGGCGCACGGCGCCGTCAGGAAGCATCACGAGTACCGAGTCGTCCATTAAACGCGTACCGTGAAGCAGGCGGCGCAGCGGCAAAATGGAGCGAATGGGTCAATGCCACGGTATTCTCAGGGAGTGTTGGCAACTTCCTGAGAGTTTGAGGATGTATGAAGGCGGGGTTCACTTCAAGAAGGCTTTTTACTAGAAGTGGTGAAAACAAGGCTGGAAGGGATTGAATTAGTGGAGGTATATGACGGAAAGGCTGCGAGCCATGCTGAGTCGCCGGAGACTCGGTTCACAGCACTAATGACGGTTTGGGTTGGGGGCGGTAGGCGGAGAGTGTGTGGGGGCAGAAGGAGCGAGATTGATGCGGAAGGAGCTGGGTGGGTCCATGTATGCACCAGCGCGCCGGCACGAACTTGGATTCTTTCTGTTTCTAGTGAGTGTGCGGAGATTTCAGCAGTAGGGGGTCTTAAACGGAGCAGCTTTTGCGCGCCGCGGCGATGGGCGATTTTCCTAGCTGTCGCCGCTGTCCGTGGTGTCGCAAACGATGCCCAGACTCGAGGTTCGGTGACATGCATTGACATTAACAACCTGTCAGAGTCTTGACGGTCGCGGCGCAATATGGAAAATATGGAACGTTTGTGTTACGAAAGGTCGACTTCTGCTCACCCTAATGGTGTTGCTGGACTATGTTATGATTGCGTGTCTGTCATCCATTGGTCGACGTGAGCATGGCAATGTTCGCTCTAGCTGTCGAGATGCTGCTCTAAGTGTCCTGGCAGCTTGTATCGTCCAATGCGAAGATTCGCAAAACTGCCAGAATACTTGACTGCACGACAGCAAGGGCGGTCCAGTCCGCTCTAATCAGCACTTAAAACCGGAGTTCCAAGGGTTTCTTAGGAAGCTTGGTTGGGGCAAGGGATTGTGGGTGGTGTCGCGATTTGTGGACGCCGATCGCAAAGCCTGAGTACCTCGCATGTGTAACCAGATTTTGAATCCAACGTACGAAATAGCTTGCAAAAGTTTCGGACGGGCTTCAACCTTTTGTGCGAAGTCGTCACTCCTATCGCTCTCGCTAGTA